AGTGCAAAGCTATGCACACAAAGCCTTAACCTGTGAAACACCAAGCAAAAAATAGGCTGAAGTAAGAGCATCAGGCTTTGCTGAACTTCAGTGCCTTAAGCCATGCACTGGGATTGCCCGGGGCTGCTCTCCACACCCTTTGTGCCTCTCCCCATCCTCCAAATACCAAGGGACAGCTACTGGTAAGTGAATCAGACCCTGAAATGGGTCAGGGATCCTCAGCGACTTGTAGGGATGCATTGGCCAGTTTTACAGACAACCGCAGAGCTCAATTCACTGAGATTTTCCAGGGACTTGGCTGAAAAGCATAAGCTCATCCATCACAGACGCCCAAGGAGCCTTCTGCAGCTTGCAACAGGTATCTGACATCTGCAAGTGCCCCTGCCACAGCCAGGGACTGCTGGGACAGGTCAAGGGGAGCAGTGCTTGCAGCACTGCTTGCAGAAGAAGCTGCTGCCTGTCGCTAGGGTGATATCAGGACAACCAAAATTCCCCATCCCTGTGTGTCTTCCCATGTGCCTGAGGTACCTCCCTCTAAAGTGGTTTGGCACAGGACAGCTCAGGCTTGGACACTGTTGAGGCACGTGCCAGTTGCAGGCAGGTTGTGCAAGGACATCCATCCCATGCTCCATATCCCCAGCAACCTCTGCCCTGCTTCTCCCGTCCTTCCTCTGTCCTTGTCCTTCCCTGCCTCTTCCAAGCCAGATGCCCCCCAGACCTGTTGATAAACAGAGCTATTCCTGAAAAAATTGCATCAGAACCAGTTTAGGGAGCAACTGTATCTAGAGAATTGAGGACACGATGACCATGATGACTGCTGGCAGAGAAGGATGTGTGGGGAAAACAGATGAGCAAACAACAGAACTAGCCAGCCCAAAGCTCAGGCTGCAGATCTGCTTTCCCTGCACGGGCCAGGACGCCCTCCCTCGTGCTGCAAAGGACAGGGCTGCCACTGCACTCCTATCTCATATAGGAAGAGCCCACTAGCCTCCCCCCGCGCACGGCCCCTGGACCTGCACAGGACAGGATCCCAGAGCCCCTGGGTTTCACTGGGCCTCATTTCTAACAATCCTCAAGTCTCTTTAGCACCCAGGAAGAGAGGGAAAGATCTGTACCTGTTGTTAGTGACAAAGAGCTTAAACTCTCGGACGTGGGAAGAATCCTTGGAGAGGATGATGTGACCTGTGAACTGGCCTGGGGAAAACCAGAAGGGGAAGTCTGGTGGCTCGTTCAGCTGGAACTCAGCGTGGATCCTGAAATGAGAAAGGAGCCATCAGCTGCAGTGCCGGGAGGAGGGAATGGATCATGCACTGCAGATGACAGCAGGGAAAAGTTATCTCCAAGCACCAGGAATTACGAAGCTAAATTGGGGCAGAAAGGTTCCATTCAAAAAGCTCTTCATGTCACACAATGAAGAGAGTAAAAGACTGGAGCAGATCCCCTGGGTCAGGATCACCTCCAGGATCAATGCCTTTTGGAACTGGGCAATAAATGTCCATCCAGGAAGGATGAATTACATTATCATTCCTTGAAACAGAGGAACAGACTATGACCATTTCAGCCTCCCTTCCAGCTTGATCAGGCAAATAAAAGCTGCTCCCAGTAAAACAAGAAAACAATTTCCCAGACTCTCCCCCTTGGAAAGGCACTCCACCCCCTAATTAACCAAAATCTAACACATTTCTTGCTAATCAGGCTCCCCTTTCAGCCAGGGATAGCTCCAAACCAAGGGTGATGGAGAACGGCTGCTGTCCTGCATCTGGGCAACAGTCCCCACCTCACCAGGGACCCAGCGACACTGGGAGCACGGGTGCCCTCTTTCGGCGTCAGCAAAGCATCACACACGGGCTGTGAACCACCCTCTATTTCGAACTGCTTCTCCTCCCTCCCAGCCAGGACACATCTGATCTTGCTTGGGAACATGACTGCATGTGCAATGACACACACACGCACACTCTGCCACGGGCTCACAGCAGCCTTCTCCACTCCCTGAGAAACAGAACAAATTCAGAAGTGCCCCCAAGCCCTCCTCTAACACCCCAGACCCACGGACTTACCTGAATGCTATGGTGTAGTAGAAGGTGCTGATGGCTTGGATACAGGCCACAGCTCCTTGGGGAGCAAAGCGGGTTTTTACAAAGGGGCGTGGGTGGAACATGCTCAAAAGCCTGTGGATTATGATCTATGGAAAGAATTGTAGGAGAGCAAAAATGAGAACAGCTCCTCCACCACAGGTCAGCTGAAACTCCAAAGTAACTCTCTCCACCAGATCAGGAAGGCAAGTGAATTGCTATGACTTAAAAATTAGCTCAGAGACCTACCTAATCACAAAACAAGGAGATAAAGCAAGAGACTGCTTTTAAAAATAAATCCATCTTCCATGTTTTTTATGCTATTCCCATTGTTTGCAAGTTTCCATCATCCCAGTTGGTTGAATGTCTGAGTACGGTAAACTGATCTACGAGGCTGCCTCCATCAATACTACTTAAGACTTTGAAAGAGCGGGTATGCAATCAATAAACACACTGGGCTGGGAAGGTATATCAACTGTGTGATCACTAACACCTGCCTGGGCACCCCGGGGGAAAGCGATACACACACCTAGCTTTACAAAGGATGTATACACATCCTTTCACTTGTCAATGAAATGCTCACCTCTGGGGTGGCACTCGGCAACTGTTCCACAAGGCATCATCACTTCATACAAGTGCTTTCTGAATAACCCTCTACCCTCCCTGTCTGGAAAAGACTAGCTCCAAAACCCACACATGTAAACAAAGCAAGATGAAGATACTCAAGTCAGCCTCATCTGGCCATGACAGACACTCAGAACTTTTGCCTGCTCTCAGTTTTACCTCCAATTTAGGAGAAAGTGCTCTTGGCTGTATGCTGCAGCCTTTTTGCTCCCTTAGAAAGTCCAGGGAGACATAATGCAATAATCTTGTCGCTCTAGGGAGTCCTGCGATTCATCTGGGCTATAAGGCAGAACATTTACACAAAATACCTCCCAGGTATATAGAAACGGAGTTTCATATCTCACCTCTTTGCCCTTGGGAGGCGGAGGGTAAAATCTGTTGTTGGAAAGATACCCAGTGAAGATGTTCAATTCACTAGGAATTATCCACCATGGATCCCCAAGATCCAGTTTATTCTTTGGAGGAAGAAAGGCTTTAAACTGCCTGGCAAGCATCGCGCTCATAGGGGTTGCTGGGGCAGTCCAATTCCTCAGCCCAGACAGAGCGACGTGAGAAATCTGTGAACAAAAGACACTATCAGAGCCTAGACCGGACTCTTCAAACGTGCAGTAATGCTGATGGATGTAACTAGGCTTTGGAGAAGGGTGAAAAAAAACCCAACCCAACCACATTTTAAGTTCTTCCTACCACACCAAACACCACCAAATAGTTCTGTCAACTTTCAATTATGTGAGTAATAGGAAATGGGAGAGAGGGGAACATACCATGTAACACCACTGCTTTTGGACTTAGCTCAGGGAGAGCCATCATTAATGTCTGCTTCAAGCTCCCCAGGAAGGGTGTAATAATCGGGGCAGAGCGCTGCTGAGTGCACTGGAAACAACGAAACCCTGCAGAAAGCAGTGACCTTGCTTGTCAAAGCAAATCCCATGGGCTTGAGGAAGACCATCTCCTCCTCCGAACACGCCAGCACTTATTCCTGGTGATGTTACGAGCCCATCGGATGTGTTTATACCAGAATTTTGGGCCATACACATCCTGCATGATACCTACTCCCAAGAAACCATCTTTGCTCTTCGTCATCGTTTCCATGACCAAAGGCTGGAATTTAGCCACAATGGACAAGGTCTCCCCGCTTGGATCAGGCGTCTCCTCCTCTTCAAATTCGGAGATGGGAGCAACCCCTAGACAAAGGGACAGGAATTTAAGCAGCTGGTTCCCCTCCCTCCCCTTTTAAGCAATTGTGAAGTGATTACACATTTATCCTGGCAAATCCCGGAGCACTGGGAGCTTCCCAGCTGTCCCTACGCTGTATGCAGCAGCAGAACTCAGACCCACCCCAGAGACCAGCTTCAGCTGCATGAATTAAAGGGGAGCCCTCCTTTTAGCGGGCGACTCTCTAAACCCCATGGCTCAGTTAAGCAGTCTCCTTTCACCTAGGAGGGATCAGAACACAGAATTCATTACAGCACAAGCAAACAACTGTCTGTATTTCAACTGTAGTGTAAGCTCTCCCGTACATTATCGTCACCACACTTCTTCCCGCTTGGCACCACCACGAGACATTTGCTACACACTGATACAGTCTCCAGACACGATCTCTCACAATTGCTATCTGAGAGAGACCGCTACAGCCGCAGGAGTGTATCAATGAAGCGCTGTGACTCACTAATAGGTTTGGCCTAGCCTGGGCTGAGCTGTATTTGTTGCATTCACCCATCCCAAATCCCCTTTAAGCTCTAGACAAAGTAACTTATGTACTTTGCTAGTCCAGCAACGGGATCTTCCGTCTTATAAAAACTCTACTTTGTGAAAGTGATGTCTAGTGCTTAAGCCTTTTCAAAAACATGTAAAGCTTAGCAGCCTCTCTTCATGTAAATAAGACACAAAACAGCACCCAAAAAAAACAGAGATGTGAATAAAAACTGTTGAGTGCATTATCTTTGGCTTTTGCTCGGTCTGTGCAGAGAGAGCTCTGCGAGGTAGACAGAAACCTACCCGTCAGCTTCTCAGCTATCGGCTTGAACTCTTCTGGACTGAGGTACAGATCATTGTTTGTGTCCAGAGAAGAAAAGAGAAACAGCCCCTCACTTCCCAAAGACTTCAGCGCCAGCTCCTAGTTCGGGAAGAAGGTGTAAGTGAGATTTCATTCCAACCCCTTGCAGAAATTCACTCCGGCCCCTCTCAGCTTTAGAGTTTATTTGCATTCTTTCCAGCACACAAACACAGCCATCAAATCGAAAGATTAACGCCCCTTGGCAGAATTTTCTGCTATTTACAATAGGGATCGGTGTCCAGGAACTGTTGGCATGAGAGTATTAAAACTACATCTGGCTGAGTAATTCAAACTGAATCATTTGCTCAGTCGGCCTCAAAGCCTTTTGTCAGAAAAATTTCCAACTTTTTCCACATAGTTAGTCCTAAACCTGCAGATATTCAGAGCACCTGGAGATCGTGATTTCTGTAATTAACGGATGCGCAGTGAAACAAAGGCAGTCAAATACATAACTATCCACATTACAAAACGACAAATGAAATGAACCGAGCCCTTGTAACTCGAGGGAAAGCAACCTAACTTAGACCTGTGCCGAGATCCATGCCAGCAGTACTGCATGCAACTGCCCTGCTCTAGTCGGGTTCCCCTCCAAGTCTCCAGCCTCAGGACCGGATGGAGCATTTCAGCCCCTTGCTCCACTGCCTACTCATACATCGGGCAGCCACAAATCCCACAATCTTCTCCAGAAACTTCTGCAAGATCCCAGCCACCCCCAGGCTCAGTTTCTCCCTCTGCAAAGCCCGCACGGAGATCACACAGTGGAAAACACCCATGAAACGCAACGTCTCCCTTGGAGCAGCCCCAGAAAGGCTCTAGATGCTTCTAGTCACTTCCACTCCGCAGCACTCAGCACTGACGGGAAGGGGACGACTTGCGAGCAGAACAAGAGTGCTCCACGTTGGTGTGAGAGAAAGAGAGAGACACACAGCAAGTCAGACAAGCCACATCACTGCCAGCAGCCTGCAGCACATCCCCTGTGACCCATCATTTGGGGCAGCTTCCCCTGCCACCCCCGTAAAAGCCTAAAGCTGCAAGGATAAATACTCTGTATTCTGCTGTTTAACCGTGTTTATTCTCTACTGCCTGCAGCACCACTACCATCCCCAGAGCTCCTGAACTAGTTTATTTTCCATCTGTTGCCTGCCAGCCTGAAGCAGCACTAATGCAGCCTGGAAGGCTTTGCTCCTGTCAACTGCAGCAACAAAAGCACTTAAGAGCTTTCCAGGGCAGTTCCAGGACAGCGACAGACAGAAATAAAGACCCTGGAATACAAACCAGAGATCTGGACGCAGCCATGGCTGAGGAAAGACAAGGAGGGGAGGGCGCAGGAACTACACAGCTGAGAAAAGGAATGAAGGAACAAGATGGCGATTTATCTACACACAGGAACAATCCACTCCAGCCTGTCCACGTTCCTGGGGCCAAAACTGTGCCTTCATTCCCCAAATGAACCGGGATGCACATCCTTGGCCCTGCACACAGATAACAACATTTTCCTGAGCAACTGCCCAGTTCCCTGACAGCCGGGTGCCAGGGTCATGTCAAGAAGCCTCGGGCCAGGCTTCAGTACCCCTCTCGCCTCTAGACCTTGCTTGTGCCCGGCACATAATGCATGAACCTTGTCAGGTGTGATTGCTCACTGTCTGGGAGCCGGCTCACGGCACAGGGAAGCGTGCATGGAGCGCACGGTGGCCTCCCCCTCTGCAGAGGGGGCTGTCCCGGATGCGTACTGAGCTCTGAAGAGACGGTCCATTTCCTAGTCCTCTCCACAGCGCGTCAGCGATTCCCTGCTGATGAATCTTTTAGAGGCTCTCTTCTTTTTGCACTTCACAGACATGGACCTCAAGGGATGGGAGGCAAATGAGCGACAAAGTTTTTAGTTGGTTAGACCGCCTGCTGCTGTACTATTAGGAAAAAGTCATGATCATTTACTTAACAGGGCTGAAGGCAGAAAGAGAACCAGTTATGCCCCACACATACAGAAGAACATCTCTGACTGCGTCTAAGGCAGCAGAACGTGAAGGGGGGAATATGGGTGCCCGGTGTTGGACGTTAGCCTCCAAAAATCAATCTAAATTGAGAGCATGCTCCCATCCCCTCAGCCTGCAATTTCACATAGGTTGAGCATCGGCTGCAGAACCATCAGGTAATTATTCCTACAATCGCAATTGGCCTGAGACACTGTAGCTTTGCAGTCAGGCGACTTATGTGTGCGCACACATCTCACACGCATGCCAGCGGCCGGCTGAATGCCGCCTCCTGGCTAACAGGATCGGTACCGGGCTCCTGCCTGCTCCAGACGACGCTGCCCTCCCCAGAGCTAGTTAAAAAAGCTGCTTCTCCAGCAAAGGCGCGCTCCAGGCAGTATTGGCACAGCACATCAGTTCCACACAACCCTGCAGGACAGATCGCTCCCTCTGGAAACATTTATTTCCATCCTCACAAAGCACGGCAGCTCAGCGGCAGCATCGCGCGAGCCCCTCGCCACCGGGACCGCAGGGAGCCACCCGGCCGGAGATAAGTCCCCAGCCACAGAGGAACAAAGATTTTGCTGCACTCAGTCAAAAGGGATGATAAAAATTATGTTTAAAAGGGGAGAGAGATGTCAGGGCTTGGCCTTTTGCTTTCTGATAACATTCACACTAAAGAAAGCTCTCCAGAGCTTGTGGGGTTTTTTTCATTCTAATCTGAGATTAGAAGAAATAAAGTTTCCCTCTTTGTGCCAGAGCAGTAAGACTGAGCTTTTTCAGTCTTTTTGTAGAGGAGTAGTTGTGGTTTTCACAAAGAGTTTTCTTCTCCCACCTGCTTGTGGGTTGTTTAGCTAAATAAACATTTCCATAGAAAGAGACAAGACATATGTTTTAAGCAGGATGAAGGAAAAATAAAAACCTTGGGCTGCGTGCATGTTGTTCTCCTCTCCAGCAGCGCCTCTCACAGCTCTCTGCCTGTCCTCCAGGAAAAACAAAACCTTCCCAAGACCTGGCCCTCTGTCAGGCAGCGCTGAGGTCCCCTCAGCCAGCCTGCGAAGGACTGTCCTGACCCTTCTGTCCCCGCCAGAAGAATTCTTCTCATTAACTGGTTTGAGCCATTTCCCCCTTTTTTTTGCAATGCAAGAGACAAAGAAAAGAGGCATCTTTTAAAACCACTTGTCTTTTCACTAGAGAAATATAGAAGTCTGCTCTTTTCGTGAACCTTTTTAGATGTTCAAGGATGCACGCCGAAGCGAAGAGCCAGGGGAACAGGACCTCTAACAAAGGCATGCTTTCTCCAAAGCACGCAGCCGTCATTTGAGTTATACGGATTACAATCAAAACCAAGGTCAATCAGCCTAATTTAAAAAAAAACCCTCAAACATAATAAAGCCGCTAAAAAAATCTTCCCATTTTTCAGCTCATGTCCTCCATTCTTTTGCTGCTTCTAAAGTCGGAGTTGCTCCGGGCACACAAGACTTGCATTTCTAGTATGAAAAAAAGATCCACAAACATCTGAGTTTGGGGCCTTTTTTTGCAGGGAATAAAGCAGGAAAGAGACACCTTCCGAGGCCACGCTGAGAGGAGCCACGAAGCGTTACGCCAAGAGCAGGGCCGGGGGCTGGGGCTCCTGCTCTCCCTCCATCTTCTGGCGGGAGCAGCTGGCCTCAAAGCTGGGGCCTGGTGGTCACCACCTGTGGTTGTTTCAGCCTGGTGGTGGCCACCGCAATCCCTGTGGCCACCTCAAGCCTAGTGTCTACCACAGCTCTACAAAACCTCCACCTGGGTAGTGGCTACCTCAAGCCCATAGCCACTGGCATGTGATGAGCACCACAATAGTCACCTCAGCCTGGGAGTGGCCACCACAGCCTGGCAGTCGCCACCTCAAGCTCCAGAGCTGCTGATGCCTGGTGGTCCCTACAGCCTGACAGTGGCTGCCACAGCCTCATGGTCACCACAGCCCAATGATGGTCACCTCAACCCTGGCAGCCACCTCAAGACTACAGCCACCAATGCCCTGTGGCCACCACAACCCAGTGGCAGCCACCACAGCTCTGTGGTTTCCTCAGTCTGGTGATGGCCACCTCAACCCTAGTGGGCACCTGAACCCAGTAGCTACTGATGTGTGGCAGTCACCTCAGCCTGGTGGCAGCTACCTCAGCCACTGTGACCACCTCAGCCTCAGTGGCCACCTCAACCCCTGTGGGCACTGATGCCTGGTGGTCACCTCAACCCTGCTGGCCACCCTAAGCCCCAGTAGCCACCTAAATCCCTGTGGCCACCACCACCTGGTGATCACCTCAGCCCAGCAGCGGCCACCTCACCACCACTGGCCACCTCAACCCCAATGGCCACCGATGCCTGGTGGTCACCTCAACCCTGCCGGCCACCTCAACTCCAGTAGCCACCACTGCCTGGTAGTCACCTCAACCCCGGTGGCCACCCGCGCCTGGGC